TTCTTTGCGGCATTTCGTCGAACAATTGGTGAGCATGAATCCAGCGTAAACGTTTTCGAGGCCACCGGTTCAAGCTCAATTTCGATGACCTTCCGACGAGTTTTTTAACAATCTCTTCAAGCTCTACACCAACCTCCCATCATTCCCTAACCATCTAACCTCATCGGTTCGTTGCCAGACTACCGCCAGCCAATGAAAACAAAGCCCAGAAACCTAACTCAGAACTAACCTAAACAAGCTTTTCTAATATTTAGATTATCCTACAGATTACCCTAACCGTTTCTAATGTTTAAAACAATCATCAAAGCATGAAACAAGGTCAGAAACCACTAACTTGAGTGACCATTGGCCACAGATGGCTTTCCGGCGAGGTTTGGGAGCTCCGGTGTGGGTTTCATTATAGCCGACTCAGTCAAATGCAGTTTCAATGATTCAAAATGCAAGAAACAATGAAACACATGATCAGAAACTTGTTTTAAACACCAATAATCTCAAAATCACTAAGAAGATCACGTAATCAAACATGATAGAGCTCAAACACCTATTATGGAGTTTTATCAAACTATGATCATGAGGCAACTTTACCTTTTCCATTGGAGCTTGATTATGAAATTCCGAAACCAAACGGCGACCGTAGAGTGATTCCTTGACACTTTTTTCTCGAAGTTGATGAGCTCTTCTACACCGGGAATGTCCTAGATTGATCGGCTGAAGCTTACTTCCAGGGCTTCACGGTCAGCTTTGCACTGATTGCCTGAGGAGGATGCCCTCCTTGAACAATCGATTCGCCGATGCTGTTGAGTCGATTGGTGCCGATCACTCTATCATGGGACTTCAACTCCCTTCCCTCTCAGCCTTCTTCTCTCTCTCTCTCTCTCTCTCTCTCTCTCTCTCTCTCTCTCTCTCTCTCTCTCGGAACTTTCGTTGAACAGGTTGTCTCCCTCAGGAATGGTCTTCCCACCCTTTTTGATTCCTTCATCGAGATGATTCCGACTCCCAGTCGATTAGAGCGAATGAGGATGGACAACTGGAGATTCTCCAGCTGTCCAACCTATTTAACACATGCTACTTTGATCAGGATAAGTTGGTGAAAGCTCGGCCTCGAACAGATATTTTCCCCCTTTTTCCCATGCGTTGCCTGGTCGGGTAAGGAAGAAGGCCAACCCGGGTCGGGTCGGGTTGATCCGGCCAACCTTGGTTGGTCTAATTTTGCAAATTCAACCTCATTTTGACCCGATTTTTCAAATTTAACCCCCAAAATTGGATTCCTTAGCACATTTTGTATCAAGATATGAGATTTGTACAAACTTTTATTACAATTAGACCCAAAAATTCCCAAATTTGAATTCGGATCAATAGGGTTTTTGTTTAATTCAGTGTCCAAATGACCTAATTAGGCAAAATTGAAGCCAAAATTGAATTACCCATGTCTTATTAACCCTAAGGAAAGTATGGATCTTGATCGAAAATTTCAAATTGTATAAGATTCCCAATTTGGGTCTTAAAATCCCTAATTTTCAATTAATTTTTGGGTTTTTTCAATTCTTTTGTTAAATTGTGAAATTGGACTGACTAATATGTAATTCAAGGTCCCATAATCAATTGTTGTGAAGACACTATGACCTACAAATGACTCAATTGGATTTTTGGTTCAATTTGGGTATGAATTTTACCCAATTTTGGGATAAACATATCCCCAACTTAAATTTTCCAAAATTGAAGCTGCATTGATGAAATTGGAATTAAAATAAGACTAATGGCTATTTTTATGGAATTTTTGAATTCCATTTGGTATTTTTCTTGATTTTTCACTCATTTTAGCCAAAAGAAAATAAGGAAAAATTCATGAAAATTATAAAATATATATATATATATATATATATATATATATATATATATATATATATTTGGTTTAGAAATAGTTTCCTAAGCATAGCCAAGGTTCCTAATCTTAATTTTGTAATTTTTAGGAAAACTTGAAACATAGGCAAAAAATCAAGTGTCGACATCCTATTAGGACAATTAGCTTGCAAATGCCCATAATAATGGCGCTTAAAGCATTTCCTTGCTTTACCTTCAGTTTTCTTGCGGAGTTCTTTGGAATGTTCCACAAACTTTTCTTTGCCCTTATCTTTTGTCGATGTACTCTTTGCCTTACTTGATGAAGCACTCTTAAAGTAGGATGTTCCTTTTGTAGAGGTTTTGGATTAAAACCTCTTGCTGCCTTTTGTTTGATTTTCGACTTTTATCAACAACTTGCATTCGTCTTCGAAGGACACCAATAAGGTTGAAGTTCAACCAAATCAGCAATTTCCTGATTCATTCCGCCGAGGAATCGATGATGGTTTGCTCTGGAATTTTTGGAACTTTGCACCTCATCTTGAGTTGTTCAAACTCTCTAATGTATTCTTGAATGCTCATCCCTTGTTGTTTTAGGGAATTCAGCTTGAGGAACAAATCTTACTTATAGTTGTTGGGCAAAAATCTCTTCTTCATCAGTTTCTTGAGTTTATCCGAAGATTTGATACGGCTTTTTCTTTCTCTAAGACGTTGATGCTTTAGATTCTCCCACAATAGAAAAGCATATTTTGTCAATTTTAGGACATCGACCTTGTATCTCTTCTCGTCCAAGTATGACTTGAAGTAAAAAACTCGTTCGATTGCATGTAGCCAATTGACAAAATTGTCGGGATTGAGACTACCCTCAAATTCAAGTGCCTCCACTTTTATCTCATGATCATTCTTTCTTATGCTTCCCTCTTCTTCTCCGGATTCAATATTGTGGATTACTAGAGTTCCTCCAGTAGAGTCGAATTCATCAAATGAAAATCTGAATCGTCGCGTCGATGTCGATCAATAGGATATCTTGCTTGTTGTCCTTGCCTCGCCAAATCTTCAAGAAGATTAAGAACTCTCTCCATTTGTTGTTGGAGATTCTGATTTGCACGGTCTTGCCTTTCGTTGTGTGCTTGCTCCAAGGTCAAACCTCTCGGAATTGGTTCATCCATTTTTTTTAAGAAGAATGATAACAGAAGGAATCACTCAAAGGAGTTCAACCTTAAGCTTTGATACCAACTTGATGTGTGAGTAAGTGATTTCGGAAATGGCGTTTATGGGTTATGTGTTTGGATGGGTGTGTGTTTACAGGATAGTTACCGAAGGGTAAAATGGAAATGAAAGATAGGTTACGATCACCACCAAGGTATAAAGGACGCGCCACCAACTAAAGATGAAGATCAGAATCGATGAAGTTCACCACCGAGGCTTAAAGGACAAGCCACCCGCCAAGGTTAAAGGACTTCAGGATATGAGAAGCTCACTACCAAGGCCTAAAAAAAAACCACTAGTCAAGAATAAAGTACTTCTTGGCTCACCACTAAGGAGTAATCCAATCTCTAGGGATAAAGAAATCAATATAGGAGTTATCCACTCTTTAAAGAAATTCACTCACACAGAGGAAAATCTCATATATTTTCATTCAAAGTCTTCCGCATTACAATTGAGAACAATCCCCTATTTAAAGAGACAAACATTAAATGACATGGGAACTATAAAACAATTAATGTCCTAGGAACTTAATACTTTGACTCTTGAGACTTGCACTCATAAAGAACAATGAATTCAGAAATGCATTAATGACACATAGGAACTATGAAGTGCAACAAAGACATGGAGACTTGAAATCTTAACTCTTCATTCTTGTGGTTCTTCTCCCAAAATTGATGCTCCACCTTTGATCATAGGATAACCACCTCAATAAATTAGCAAATGTCATAGGAAATCTCTTAGAATAACCTCCCATCAATATGTTGTCGATCCGCATTGAAATCAGCAATTATTCTTTGTGAAACTATAGCTTTAAATGTCAAGGGAAGAATCGACAACTTAATAATTGGTAACCTGGTTGATAGTCTCCTTGTCGATCATCTAACGAAGCAAGTTATGACCGAATTCTACCTTAACTTGAATGAAAATCGATGGTGCTAATTTTGTTGATGGAATTAAGTCGGATGCTCCTGCATCATCCAATCATCGTTGGGGCAGACTTCATCTGACCTACGAAGGAACTAACAGAGTCAAGGAAACAAAGAAGAACATCGTCCTTAGCAAATACAAATCCTTCAAGATGAAGCCAGATGAATCAGTTACTGACATGTTCAATAGGTTCACTAACATTGTCAATGGAGTTGCTTATCAAGGCAGACAAATCTCATCGGGAGAGAAAGTAAACAAGCTTCTTCAAGCCATTTCAAAGGAATGGAACATCAAAACTTCCATTTGAGAAACACAAAGAATTATGCCCCTCACTGTTAATGAACTCATCATAACTCTCATTTCTTATGAAGCTGGACGTATCAATGATGACATTGATTCCAAAGAGAAGGTCCACTACAAAAAAGTTAGGTCTTAGCGACGAATTTTGCCACGAAAAATTTGGCAAAATTCGTCGCTAAACGAATTTGCAACGGAAAAAAATCCGTCGCTAATACGCCGTCGCAAAATTTTGCGACGAAAAATTTCAATTTTCGTCGCTAATTTGCGGCGAAAAAAAATTCGTCGCAAAATTCGTCACTAATTATTCGTGGCAAAATTCGTCGCTCATTTGCCACGAACTTTATTCGTCGCTAATTATTCTTTGCAAAATTCGTCGCTAATTATTCGTGATAAAATTCGTCGCTAATTTATCACGAAATTTTTTTTTTGGTTAGTAATTTGCGACAAACTTATTAGTGACAAAATTCGTCGCTAATTTGCCACCAAAAATTTTTACTTTTGCCATTAACATTACTCATGAACGAATTTAGCGACGATTTTTTATTAATTCTTTTGCGACAAACTCTGCGACAAATATCATTTAGGGACGAAATTAGCGACGAAATTTTATTTTCGCAACGAACTTTTGTAATTTGTGATCGTACGATAAAATCATTTATTTTATTTTTCGATTTTAAACCTAATCAAAAGCAAACTTAATTTTTGGAATTTATATTTAACATTGATTAAACACTTAATAACATCAAAATATTATAATAATATGAAAATGAAATACATTCATCTACATTTTCCACAAGAATGACATAAACAAAGAACCAAACTGAAAGGTACATTCTTCCTCTTCAAGACAGACCTTCTCAATTGAGGAACTATCCAACCAAAAGGTGTTCTCAACCTTGTTATCAGAAAAAAGTTCACAGAATATGTTCTTGGCCCCACCAAGTCTAGCAGCCAAACCTTCTAACCTTCTCCATGTCAAAAGCTTCATGTCAATGGTTGCAGGTGAAGTCCCCAGATTTGACATACCAAGACAGTTCCTCTAGTCCAAATCATACACTGGTCTTCTGCTTCTAGTAACCTCTTGAAGGAAGTGATTGCCATTAATCTCCACAGAGGGAGTATTTGTTAAACGAACTTGTCCTGATATATGATTACCGTGGGGCACCTGGATTCGCGCTAACAAAAGTTTACTGCTTAGAAATAGATACAGTCAACCAAAATGATAATAACAAGTTGTCACTAATAACACTCAAAAACAAAGGCCACAGAAAACTTGAATCTTTCTTCTGAACAATGGCAACATATTACATAAGGGAGGTAAAAAAGGGAGTCTCAGACAAACCTTCCCCCAACAACCCAATGAAAAACCAAAATATGTACAGTTGCTCGAAATAAGTTGCCCTTACCAGTAAAATGAGCATATCTCCTTCTGAAGAAAGAAATAATCTTCTGTTATTCCCCTGAAATTCTCGAAAATCTATCTCCCATGACAAGTCGCAACACTCTTTGAGTGAAACTGGAAATCAGAAAGGTCAGTGGTGTGATAAAAAAGACGTAGTACATTGTAACTTGTACAAGAGAGAACCTAAAGCACCTGCACACCATAATGAGGCCAAGTAGAATGCATAATGGCCATAAGGACCTTTTTGCTTCGTACACGATAATTGCGGTGGATGCGTTGTAATTTATTTGTCACACCTGTCCAGAGTATGCACCAAGAATCGTGTAAAGTTTTGACTTTAGATTGTCACCTATAAATTTTTGCCCTGTCGCTTTTCATTGAATAGGTCTTTGCCAATCCTTTTAAAAAAGGATCTTTGCAGTGCACTTTCATGAATAGTTTTTGGAAGAGAATATACCAAAGAATGAACAACACTACACCTAAAGCATAAAGCACATGTCCTTAGCCTTTGGATAATAAAACCTAAATTTTTCTCCTCCGAGCCTTGGACACCCAAAATAAAAATCCAACTAAAACAAGGATATGAATTTGAAAACAATCATTCGTTTTGCAAGAAACGACAGCTTCTCAACATCCAGTTCAATGAAAGTCTATATGCATCGCAAGCTAATTGATCTTAATTAATTAGGAAAACATGGACACTAGATGAAAATATGCTTGAGCAGAGGGCCTTGTCTTGCATTGTCCAGAATCCACCTCTAAGTGACTGGTGCAACCAATTCTCTAATCTAGATGCGACGGATTAAGACCTTCACTTACCTGAACAGTCTGTTCATTGGTTTGAGAATGTGTGTCAAAACGGCGAAGCGTCAAGCCATCTGTCCATTTCTTCTTGTGAAGATTAAGTAGCATTTTTTCCTCCAGTTCATTCTTTCTGTAATTGATGGCAATTGAGTAATAGCGTCTGTTCAGCCCATGGATCAATGCCTAAAAATATGAAGTCAACCCCATGAGATAAGATCAAAACTCAATATTCAAAGACAGCAATTTATGGACAGCACTCACTTGGATGGACGGTTTGTTGAGATGTCCAAGGTTGGAGGTTGTTTGCCTGGGTTCTTGGCCAAGCATCATGGTTTGTGGGTTGATCAAACGGAAGGCATCAATCACCACCTTCCCTTTGACACTCTAAATGGGATCCACAACTACTGCAACCGCAAGCTGATTTAAAACCTCAAAACTCTGATTTTATAAGAACACATCACAAGTATAAAGCAGCCTTGTTAACAATTGGATCCAACTGGAAACCTATAACCAATTATAGTCTAGCAAAAAAAAAGACATAAGAAACCAATCATACACGAATGCAATAGGCTATGGTCATCAACCCACTGTAAACCATGAGGAAACAATTAAAGCTGGAAACATACCATTGGGAATGTCCTTAAGTCGTATACCACGACCCTGAAATACCAGCAAGCCATTAATCCCTTGGAAAAGAAGATTAAAAAAGAGAGTCCAAGCGTGCCAGTACCTTTTCGATGGAGAAGCCCTTGCTGGAGGGCGTCCTGACGAGGGCAGGAGCGGAATACCGCTCGATTCCGGGCGTCGCCGGATCTTTCTTCGCCGCACTCGATTTCCTCCTCCTCTTGGGCACCCCCTGTTTCTCCACGGAGCTCCCTCCTTTCGGATTCTCCTCGCTCTCCTTCTCTTTCGGGGCGTCGTCCCCGTCGTCATCTTTGGCCGAGGCCTCCTCGTCGGAAGCCTCGGCCTCCTCGTCGGAAGCCTCGGCCTCCTCCTCCTCCTCCTCCTCCTCCGGAGCGGCGATCTCTCGGTCCTCTTGATCTGCCTCCTCCACCTCTGATTTCTCGGGGAGCTCCTCCTTGCCCTCGATGGGGGGAGGAGCCGCCGCCCCTTGGGGCTCCGCGGCCTCTAGGGCTCCGGAGGCCATGGGCGAGGAGGAGTCGCAGGAGGAAGCGCGGGTGGGGGAAGGGGGTACCGAAAACCCTTAGCGAGCGCGAGAGGTTTGGGGGTATGGGGGAGAGGGAAGAAGGAGAAGGGAGAAGCGGAAGCAGATCTGATCTGATCGACAGAAACGAAAGAGGGAGAGGTAGGGAGCGAGGGTGAAGAAAGATCAGCAGACAGACAGAGAGAGAGAATGGGATAGGGGGGGGTGAGGGCGGGCAAATTGGGAGCGAGGGCAGGGAACTCGAAATTTGCGACAGACTAAAACGTTCGTCGTTAATTTTCCGTGGCTCAATTTACTTTTTGTAGTGTAATTTTGCGACAGATTTAAAAAATAGTCTAGAAAGTGAAGCGAGAATTTATTTTCGTCGCTAAATCCGTGGCTAATTAGCCACGAAATTAAAAATAGTCGGGAAAGTGAAGCGAGAGTTTATTTTTGTCGCTAAATCCGTGGCTGGTTAAGCCACGGATTTTTTTTTCGTCGCTAATTCCGTTGCAAATTAGCTACAGAAAATTTTTCGTCTCAAATTAGCGACGAATTTTTTTTCGTCTCAAATTAGCAACGAATTTTTTTTTCGTCGCAAATTAGCGATGAATTTTTTTTTCGTCGCTAATTTTCCGTGGCTAAATCCTTGTTTTTTTTTGTAGTGGTCGCGACACTAAGGCATGGGGGTGAGCAGGTACCTAGGCGGTTGGCGTGAGGAATTGCGAAAGGAGAGAACGAAACTTCGGAGAGAAAGAGCTTCGCTTCGTCCTTTCAGGCTGCGCATGATAACGATTCTATGCCCGGGAACAGATTCTGCTCAGAAATGATTCTTTTTTATTCTGTGCCCGGAATTGATTTTGAGCATTTTAAGGCGTTTGTTAACGGCCTAAAATTCCATCCTTGGAATAGAAAACGAACAGAAATGCGTTTGGTAACGCCACAAAATTTCTTTTTATTAATAATATTTTTAAATATTTTAATATTTCTTTCTTTTTTTTTCTTTTCTTTTTTTCTTTTCCTCCTTCTTGGCCATGGCCTGCTCGCCGGCCATGGCCTGCTCGCCGGCCATGACCGGTAAAATATTTTTTTATTAATAATATTTTTATTAAAAGTATTTTTTCTTTTTTTTTGCCATGGCCTGGTCGCCGGCCATGACCGGTAAAATATTTTTTTTATTAATAATATTTTTTATTAAAATATTTTTATTAAAAATATATATTTTTATTTTTTTGGCCATGGCCTGGTCGCCGGCCATGGCCGGTAAAATATTTTTTTTATTAATAATATTTTTTATTAAAATTGGGCCTCTTGTGTTTTTTTTTTTTGCCTTTATTTATGTTTGGGGTGTGATATTTTTTGGTTTTCGCGGTTTCGGCCTGGCGTTTTGAATTTTTGGTGTTTGAATTTCGTGGCAAAATTCGTGGGAAATTTCCCACGAATTTTACCACGAAAATAGTACACGGTGCAATAATTTTCCGACGAAACTTTAAATTCGTGGCAAAATTCGTCGGAAATTTCCAACGAATTTTGCCACGAATTTAAAAAAAGCCGCCAACATAAGGGGTGTTTGAATTTCGTGGCAAAATTCATGGGAAATTCCCACGAATTTTGCCACGAAAATAGTACACGGTGCAATAATTTTCCGACGAAACTTTAAATTCGTGGCAAAATTCGTCGGAAATTTCCAACGAATTTTGCCACGAATTTAAAAATGATGCCAACATACTGCATATTTAAATTTCGTGGCAAAATTCATCGGAAATTTCCGACGAATTTTGCAACGAACCAACATAAGGGGTGTTTGAATTTTGTGGCAAAATTCGTGGGAAATTTCCCACGAATTTTGCCACGAAAATAGTACACGGTGCAATAATTTTCCGACGAAACTTTAAATTCGTGGCAAAATTCGTCGGAAATTTCCAACGAATGTTGCCACGAATTTAAAAAAGACGCCAACATACCGCATATTTAAATTTCATGGTAAAATTCGTCGGAAATTTCCGACGAATTTTGCCACGAATTTAAAAAAAGTCACCAACATAAGGGGTGTTTGAATTTTGTGGCAAAATTCGTGGGAAATTTCCCACGAATTTTGCCACGAAAATAGCACATGGTGCAATAATTTTCCAACGAAACTTTAAATTCGTGGCAAAATTCGTTGGAAATTTCCAACGAATTTTGCCACGAATTTAAAAAGGACGCCAACATACCGCATATTTAAATTTCGTGGCAAAATTCGTCGGAAATTTCCGACGAATTTTGCCACGAATTTAAAAAAAGCCACCAACATAAGGGGTGTTTAAATTTCGTTTGCCACGAAAATAGTACATAGTGCAATAATTGGCCGGAAACTTTAAATTCGTGGCAAAATTCGTCGGAAATTAGCGACGAAAAATTTTTCGTCGCCAAAATTGTCGGAAATTAGCGACAAAAAATTTTTCGTCGAAAAAATCGTCGGAAATTTGCGACTAAAAATATTTTGTCGCAAAAATCGTCGGAAATTTGCAACGAAAAGTGTTTCGTCGCTAATTTCGTCGGAAATTTGAGACGAAAAATTTTTCGTCACAAATTTCCGACGATTTTAGTTTTCGTTGCAAAAGTCGTCGCAAATTTCCGACGAAAACTTTTTCGTCGCAAATTTTCGTGGCAAAATCCCAGTTTTTTGTAGTGGAACATTAGATTTATCTAGTATAATCAAGTCCCCGTATTCATGAAGCTCTAATTTTCATAAGTAAAATATTCTCCCGCATTATACTCGAGTTTCTAATCGACCCGTAATAGATTCGTGGCAACTCCCAAATGATTTGAATTGCATATTTAATTGATTAAATCAAAATACCACAGTTACAATTGGTATTGACTGAGGAGAGTCCACACTAAGTGTATACTTAGTAATTTGTTAGCTTTCTCTGGGTGGTACACCTCTGTGAAAGTCATGACATTCACCTAACAAGTGGCGATTGATTTGAGTGGATATAATGTCGTGTTTCGGGAACAATTAAAAATATTCGCTAGGTTTCAAGGAGAAACATTTTGACAACCCCAACTAACATCAAATTCCCTAAAAGATGTGAGTAGTTTTTCTCAAATCCTAATTTGACTCTCATTGATAATGGATTTTGCGAATGTATTATGCAATTCGTGCGTTCTTAAATTATGAGTGAAAAACTTGTTATATTTTATATATGGCATTTCAAATCCCACATCAAATAAAAAAGGCATTATTAAATGATTCATAAGTTGAGACTCACCTTGGCACCATCTTATTTGGTTACTTCGAGTATTCCCCTTCGAGGGTTGGCCCACTTGAATGGGCAGGGTCATCACAAATGGCATCAAAGCCAGACCACCTCAAGTAGAGATGTGCCATTCTTGGATGGACTAGACCTATAGCTAATTTGACAAGGTGGAGAGTGATCATTGAGATGAGAGTGCAGCTCCTCACATGCTTCTAGTATGGTGGGAATGGACTGGTCCAAGCATAGAACATGGGGAGTATTACAAGGCGACACAAACCAACGTTCGACGGGAAAGGCATATTGATAATTAATAAAAAATGATCACCACCTTATATGGTTACTTTTATTTCTTTTGGAGGACTTGACTCATGGGAAATTGGTTGGGTCATCACGCCGTATGCATAACCATTCTCATATTCTAAATTATAGATAGGTCGTTTCACGTGACATTATCAATCTTTCCCATGAGATGCCAACCTTTTTATCTCGTGCACAACCTCATGTAACTATTGTGAATGTGTTGGCACGTAAAAATGATAGAAAATTGGTATTGGCTAAGGGTGAGTGGTTTCCGGTCCGGTCCGGTCCAACCCAAGAACTGGGAATCGGACCGGGAGGACCGGTTCCCAGTATTTAGGACCGGGGACCGGACCCGATTCCAATGGGACCAATATTAAATATTATTTGTAAATCGGGAACCGATTGCTCCGTTTTTTCCTTTGTAGTTCTGATTTGATCCCATAAGGCCATGGAAAAATTGGAAAAATATATATAATATATGAAAAAATTAAACAATTGGTTCCAATAGGACCAATATTAAATATTATATATATATGAAAAAATTAAAAACGTATATATTTATCAATCCGATCCGGTCCGGTTCCCACCCTAGAACCGGAAATTGGACTGCCCGGAAACCGGTTCCACTTTTAGGAACTGGGAACCGGACCGATATTCCCGAGAACCGGACCAAACCGGTTGGTCCGGTTCTAGTTTGGGCAGTCCATCTTGCTCACCCTTAGTATTGGCCATTTTGAAAGAAATATTGGATTTGTGAGGCATTGATATATTAAGCAAGATATTGACTTTATAATTGTAAGATGTCATGCAAATTATGTCAGTCAGATTGTGATTGGCATAGGGTTGGCCAACACAAGGATTGACATGCACGAGATTTGTATTAGTCAATGTTGGCACCAAAATTGTCTCATGCTAGGATTTATCAAATGGAGAAATAGATACTAATAATACGCTCCACCTAATAGAGAGCGATTGATCTGATGGACGGGGATGTCATACATCGGAAATACATAGAATTTTTTTACCACGTCTCGAGAACTTCCAAGTTCCCACAGCCACGTAAGTTAAGTTCAAACTCCAGAAAGATTAAGCATAACCCAAGTACTATCATAGTTTTTCATACTCTCAACAAATATATAACTCTGCATATAAACAACGTTCACTCGTAGCTTAGCTCGTTTGACCTCTCATCGTAAATGGAGGCAAGAATTCTCTTCAAACATTTACTGTAGACGAAGGGTCGCTCCAGAATAGCAAGATGGCCTGCATTCTCAATGCACTCCAATGTTGCTTTATTTCCTAATTTTCTGCCAAGAGAAAGTAATTGAACAAGTCAAAAACTAGCAAAGGAATTAAGTGGAACGAACATGTATCAACTAAGAGTCCCAGCCGTAACCGTAACATCAGAAATATTACCGGATGGGAAAATAAAAAAAATCTTTTAGGACTATGACAGTGTTGGATAAATGTTGGGAATTGAATTCAACATGTAATCTTTATATATATATTAAAGTAGACTTTTGGATATTCAATGCACCAAAATCCAATGAAATGAGTATTTGTTTTTCAAGTGAAAATTTGAGAGTTTTGCCAAGGAAGCAAAAATTAAAGAAAAATAGACTTTTGGACAATAAATGCACTAGATTAAATATGTTATTTTTCAAATAAAAATTTAAGGATAACGAAAATTACAGGAAATTAGACTTTTTTAACACTAATTGTTCTAAATTTAGTGAACGAGTCTTTTTTTTTTTCAATAAAGTTTCAAGAGTTTCAACAAGAATGTGAAATTAAAGATAATCTTTTCAAATTCAATGTGCTTATAAACAATAACATAAGTATTTTTATATATGCAGTAAAATTAACTACATACAATATCTATGACACAGAGATAGATCTCTCTATATATGTATATATAAATAACATTAATTAAGCTACACAACATAATAGAAAAAATGATTGATAATCTACTTGATGAGAAAAAGAAAAGAAAAAAAGATGGACATTACTCTTTGAATTCCTTCACTAATCCCACACTGAAGATATTATCGTCCTCGCCGCATACCAGATGGACTTTCTGCAAGGATCAATTATCATCAGCATATTTCTTAAATAGGTATGGCAGCAAAGAATACCACAATATATAGATTAACCAAAAATTGAAAAATAACAGTAAGGTTGACTTTACATAACAAATGTAGACAGTTTTGTGTAGGGTTTCGACGTAGGGTTCCACAGTTGTTAAAACGCAGCGGAATATATTTGTAAACCGAAACCCTAGAACCCTAGACAGGATCCATGTGTATATTGAAATCGAGACAGAAGTTCGATACGTACCTTTTGCAAATCGAACGTAAATTGACAATTGATTGTGTCTGGATTAGCGCCCCAAGTGTTGCGCCTCTACCGGTATCCACACACGTGAACAGAAGTCTCCAACGATCCAAGTGCTAGCTAAAGATCTTGAAGTTCCTTTTCTACAATGCCTTTTGATTTTCGATACTCTGTCGAAAAACCCTAGACAGAGAACGATTCTCTATCTATTTATACAACATCATTATCCAGCGGAATTAAAAGAAGTGGGCCAGGCGATTTGGGCCCTCCAAACCGTCCACCTTCAATCGTACATTTAATCGTTATCTCATAACGCGCACGACCGAGTAGATAAGTTGAATAGGAGAATAAATTAAAAATCTACTTCTTATTTTGAGTAGATCCCGGCGCACAGAAAATATTAATTCAGTTCGCTTTTGTGTGCGACCCTGTAGGTTCACTAAACATTGGCAGTGTGCTCAAAACTATTTTTGGCTCACAAGTCATAAGCGGTGTCTAGCAAGACATTATAACTACCTAAGTATACTGAATGTCGATTTTCCGACACAACCTAATCCACAACTAATTTTAGAGTATCAACCTTGATTGATTCCTAGGGCAGACCACTAACATTTTGATCATTTGATCATTACAAAAGATCATTATATAGCACGTGAGCTCAATACACGTGAGCCATCTCACAGCCTATTATGCTTTAAGAAGAGAAAGAGGAAGCTTCTTCAGATGAACTTAAACCTGGGAATACTCTGGCAAAGTGAAGTCCTTGTCTGGAATGACAAAAGCCTGCAACAGTTCAGCTCTCTCCTTTCTGTAGTCAAACATGACCTACAATCCATGATGTAGAAAAAAGATTGATTGACAAAAATATTTTTTTAAAAATTATAAAGGAAATGATGTCCTCAATCCATGAAGGGAAATGATTAATCGAAATCTAAGGTAATTTTTCATTGAAAATTTTTTTCCTGCAATAATTAACTATTTAAAAATACAAACTCCATATCCAATTTTTAGTAATTTGACTTTTTTGTTACATAGGTCCTTTTCCTGTTTACTTAATTGTGTTTCTTTTGCTTAAATTTATTATTATTTCTATCAATATTTTCATCAAATCTTGATAATTTTTAGTTTTTACTATTGTTATTAATTTCTTTTTATATTAACACTTTATTTAAAAAAATTCTAAAAATTCTTTATTTTTTTATTTTTCTCCTATGGAAATCAAGGTAAAAGAAATATGTCTAGTTTCAGCAATACTATCGCTGTTAATATCTTTTTAAATTAACACTTCGGTTAATTTGTTTTCTTTTAAATTTTCTTCATTATTTGTTTTACCCCAATGGAAATCAAGGATAAAAGAAAGATGTTTATAAAAAAAAAAAAAGAGAGATGAAATACATATTTGCCCTTTAAATTCATGGCTAACAAAAAATATAACAAATGGTCAACAACTACAACAAAACAAAAGTTCATGAAGTAATGTGTAACAATTGAAGGTTTAGGAGTAAATGTATATTACCACAAAGTTCGGGTAAGTTTTGTGTAATTTACCCCCAAAACTTTTGTCAAGGATCTACCTCCTTATTTTGATCAATGCTAGAAACATAAAACAATCACGATAAAACTTGTTCAGATCAGATTTTTACACAAGCTAAGGGAGACTATGTATAGAAGGATTGGCTTCCAACAGTATATTTTGTAAATCACTTAAACTATAAATTTTAAAATATGATTAGAATATCTTTCGGAATTCTCTTTTTGATTATAGTATGATAGCAAGAATATTCAATTGAGTGCGTGTGCGTGTGCGTGGTACGGAACCAATGAGTTTCAAGGTGTTTGTGTGCCTGAGTTACGTAGAGAACTTTATGGAGCTCATACCTCTAAACCGTCCTTTTTTTTTTTTTGGAACGATCTAAACCGTCCTTGAAAACACGATTAGGGATTCTAGGGAACCTGTGGCTCCCAACCACCTTCTTCACCCCGCTTACAGTATTAGGCAACAAAAGCTCTGACCATGTCGGAAACCCCAATTTCTTCAAGCACTCCTTGCTTATCGACTCGGTCATTGCTGGTACAGTGCACGTTGCCACCACCGACTCCACCAGCTCGGGCTGCGACTCGGCCAACTTGAACGCCACCATTCCGCCATAGCTGAACCCCACCACCATGCACCGCTGCAACCCAAGTGCCGCCAGCCCCTTCGCCACGCACTCCGCCTGGAAGTCCAAAGTCCGGCGGCTGTCACCTGTGGCAGAGCTGCCGAAGAAGAGGAGGTCCGGCACATAGACGGCATACTTCCTCGTGAGCGCAAGGACCTGCAGCTGCCACATCATCATGCCGTCGCCGAAGAAGCCGTGAAGGAAGACGACAGCAGGCTTGTTGCTGCTTTGAGTTTGGGTTGGAGCCCAGAAGTTCATGATAGTTCTGGGTTCGATCTCGATCTTTCGAGGTCTCACGCCGGTGAGCTTCATTGCCGCTCGCAACAAGGGCTGGTAGAGCTTGATTGTGTTCACCATTCTCTCTCTCTCTCTCTCTCTCTCTCAATATTTGTTTTTGTGCGTACTGCTTACAGCGATGACATGGGAGAGAGAATGGTGAACACAATTTATTTCTGAACGTCTTTACTTTATTTAAAGTTAAAGTTAAAGTCAGATTCTTCAGCAAGTAGAGATATCGCACATTAATCTCATGCTATTTTATTTTTTGTTGTTTTGCTTCAATTGATTTTATTAGAATGCGGCAGCAGGTCCTCTCAACTCGAATCTCCTGGTCCAATTCTGCCGTTCTTGTCTGTCGTTCGCCTGTCACGACGAATCCGTCTGGAATTTGATTAATTGGAATTTAATTCAGTAAAAAAGTCACAAAAAACTTCAAACTTTACCTATTATGACATATTTACTCTAAATCATTTTTTGTGACACCAAAAATCCCACAATTGTACCCGTGTAATACATTTATCTTAAACTTGCTTATGTGACACAAAAAACCACAAACTTATATTTGCGCGACACATTTACCCTAAACTTTTTTTTTGTGACATCAAAAATCCTAAACTTTTTTCGTGACACCAAAATTTTGGGGTAAATGTGTCATAAGGATATAATAAGTTTGGGGTTTTTTTGTCACAAAAAGAAGGTTGGGGTAAATGTGTCAAATATGTACAAGTTTGACGTTTTGGTGTCAAAAAAATTTTTGCGGTAAATTTGTCACAGTGACATAGTTTAAGATTTTTGGTAGCTTTTACCCATTAATTAAATATATAAACTTCGTATGAACTTTGTCTTGTAAGCCACAATGGTGGAGGCATGAGGGTATTTGAAACCAAGGAAAAAGAAGTGCATGTTCCTTGTCTATGTAGTAAGAGTGAAAAAGTTATAAATTGAAGTGTTTTAGATTGCTAATTAGTAGAGATTTCACATTCAACGAGTTAACAACACAACAAGGTACCGAGATTCTCAAGTAGACAAATGGTACTGAAGCAGAGTAAAAGGTGGAGCTTTGGTCGGAGGCTCGGCAATTGCATATGCATGACTCGACTTACCAGTAGAAGACTCTAGAGATAATGCCAGCGAGCATTGAGTCAGTCAGAGCTACAAAAAAAGATGATGAACAGGTTAATAGGGTAAGATGAAACTACGGCAGACAATCAGATTAGTAATGAGCGGCACTAAAGATGATCGGAATCGGAACCTAGGCATGATTTTCAACTGGGATTTAGGCCATTCGAAGCTCTCAGTCGCAGTGTGAAGGTCGATCAGAACTCAACAATTCTCGACCATATTTGTGACCAAGAAAGAGACAGCCAAAGAATAATGGAGATTTTTTTTTTCTCTCAGGTGTCTTCTCTCTAAATCTCAGCCTCTCCTCTCACTAAGAAAACCTCCACCGAAATACCCCTCTGTGCGTCTAGAAAAACCCCAACAATTGATTCACTGTTGTCTCTCCTGCGTATGTGAGTCTCCCCTTTACTGAAGGTCAGTCCCCCTCCATGAACGAAAGACTTTGAAAAAATAAGGCTTCATTTGTTTCGCGAAAAATATTTATCGAGAAAATATTTTCCTCATTTTTTAACGATTTGATTGCTCAAGAAAATGAGTAAACCTAAAAGGTTTTCATAGTCAATGGAAAAAAATTTCCTACAAAAAATTAAATTGAGAAAAATGATTTCCTTTTTAAAATAATGGAAATCATTTTAAAAAATATAACCAGCTATCAACACTTGGATCAGAAACTCTGCGTTTCAGCACAGGAATCCCAACACTAATTCTCGGGCCATTGGTAGTAGGACCAGGTCCATCAAGGCTAATTCTGGGTCCATCAAGGCCGATTCCGGGACCTTAGCGTCCCGGCCCGAGTCTATCGAGGCCATGCTTAAGACCTCGATTGCACCGCCTGGGTCCATCGTGTGACATTTGGAAATTCCCATGTTCGATAATAATATTTACAACTAAATTCCACAACCGAATTGCCAAGAGTTTGAGGTGTTGGAATTAAGTTGGTAGATTTTGATGTGTACGTTAGTGGTGTAGGAAGATGATACTTAACTCGCCGCAATATTATTTGTAGAACAGGGCCAGTATGTTCTGAAATTCATATTTGATGATATTCAAGTTCTAAATTTATTGAATTGAAATTTTTCTAATTTTTGGAAATCTTGCATTGATGATGTTAGTGGATTCAAAATATTTTCAGACTCACCAATGTTCAGAATCAAATGTTCAGAATAAATATTGATTTCCTAAATCTCTATTTCTTTCCAATTGGCACGCCACGTCTCTTTTCTCTTTCAAAATTTTTAAGCCCATGCTTTTGTTGGGACATTGAATTGGTTGGCTTTGACATCATGCATGACATCATCAATTTTAACCAGTCCATTAATACATTGTTGACTCATGCCTATAGTTTAATAACAGTTTGGTAACTCATGCCTATAATCCATTAATGCATTGGAGATTCATGCACATACTTGGTTGAAGAAGAGGAACTCATCTTCATTTCCATCAAAATATCTTCTTATGGCTTATTCTTTTGGGCCAAGTGTATCCTAGCTAGTCACATAGGGGCTATTTGAAACTCATTCATTGGAAGACTTGTTTTTTAACCAAAGTTTAAAATTTCTTTTAACCTTGATTAATCATTACTTTTTCTTGATAACTATTGATAACCCCAAAAAATTCATCTTGCCTTGATCGTATGAGGAAAACTATGACAAGCTTTCACTTTCCAAAAGTAGAGGTTCCACTTCATTAACTTTCAACCACCAACTCACTTCCTCGAGCTTTCATTTTCAAAAACCCATAATTAGAAACGAAGCTCCCACACTCGAATTAATCAAAGTTGTTGTCTCAATCTTTTGTGTCTAAACAAGGTGATTTAAAGCTCTGAGTCTGAAGTCTTTTCAAGGTAAGTGAAAATTCTAGACGTTATGTTAGTTTAATCTACTTAACACTTTAGACTTGGTTAGTTGAATGTGACTTTAGTTGTAATTAAATTTGATGATAAGTGTGACTTTTTTCAACAGTGGGCTGTTGATATGTTGTGATGTTTTGATTTGTTTTTATGAGTGTTTATACGCCTAACAAGTTTTCAAGTTATTTCCTTGGGATGGGGTAACATGTTGCATATAGAAAGGATGAGTCTAAGTTGCTTTCCGAGTCTGATTCGCTCTCTAAGTCTAAATCACTTTATGAGTCTGAATTGCTCTCTGAACTTGAATTGCTTTCTAAGTCTAAATTGCTCTCTGAGTCTGATTCACTTTTTGACTCTGATTACCTACTATCAGATTATGTCCTGAGTATGATCATGTATTGCTTCTCACTCGATTGTTTGACTAATGCATTTCATTACTTTGAGGAATATGTGATGAAGCAAGAAGGTTGGTATAAGTATTGAAATGCATGTAAATGTTTACTTAAATAAAAGTGATAAGTCTGCTGTTATTATTATGATGTGAACGTTAAAAGGCTTGATGAGAAAAGAAAAGAGGTAAACTTGTAATCATCATCCTCCACGTATGTGATTATGAAAAGGGCAATGTAATGATATGCATGAAAAGATGTTATGCACTGGATATTGATTGTTGTAATGAGTGTTTAAGATCATTTTTTATGCAAGAAGATTGATGTTAACATGTTTATTGTGTATGAGAACAATATAATTCCGTCACCCATAAATAGACCTATTAAACGGGTGGGTCGGGTCGGGTTTGAGTCAGGTCATAAATGGTTTGACTCAACTTGACCCATTTAACCCGTTTATGACCCATTTATCGTAAGGCAAATTTCTCGACCCATACCCAACCCAACCCATTTAACTAAATCTAGGAAAACTTATTTCTAATAATTATTTTAAAAAATTGTATTGCTAAAACATTTTAATGCAATACAAATCTAGTGAACAATTTATATATATATTTAAATTGAGGCTTCGTTTGTTTCGCGGAAAATATGACATTTCTAGAAAATGTTTTCAAGAAAATGAAATTTTTTTTCTTAATATTTTTTTTCTTTTTCTTTTTCTTTTTTCTTTTTCCTTTTTCTTTTCATTTTTCCTTTTCTTTTTTCTTTTCCTTTCTCCTTTTCTTTTTTTTTCTTTTTTCTTCTTCCCCGCCGATGGCTAGCCACGGCGATGGCCAGTGGCCGGCCACGGTGACGGCCACAGGCGAGGGATGAGCTCGCTGGAGGTCAGCAAAGCTAGAACTCACCAATCTGGCAAGCCTCGGGTCTTGCCGATCTGGCGAGACTCAAGCTCGCCGATCGGGCAAGGCCTCGCTGGAGGTTGGCTGGCAGATAGGCAAGCTCGAGTTTGCCTGAGGCCGGTGAGCTTGAATCTCACCAGATTGGCGAGCTCCTCCCTCTCCTGTGGCCGGCCAGGCGGCCAGCCACTGGCGGAGGAAGAAGAAAAGAAAAAGAAAAAGAAAAGAAAGATAATATAAAAAAATTTAATAATTAAAATTAAAAAATCAAAAAATTAAAAAAATGAAAATAACATGTTTACTATTATTCACTTAAGCTTGTTGGGTAACCCATTTGTAACCCATTTAATACCAATTAAGTTAATAGGCCAACCCATTAATGACCCATTTAAGTCTACTATTAACTAAAGCCAATCCATCAATAACTCACAATCATTATATATGGGTTAATAAATGGGTTCTTGACCCATTTACCACCTCTACCCATAAATTAGGGGGAAGAAGACTAGAAGTGCCAAAACTTGTGTATGACGTTTACTTTAGTGCCAAAAGTTTTCGCCAGATCACTTAAGTGCCAAATGGAGAAAAAACGATCACTTAAGTGCCAATGGCGAGAAATTTTAGCCAAATTAATACGTGGCTTTTATAATTAAAATTATAATCTGAGTTAGGTTTTTTTTTAAAAATCAGTCTATGTGGCATTTCCATGTGTATATTTCGAATTTTTAAATATTTTTTCTTTTTTATTTTCTTTCTTCTTCTTCTAACTTTGGCCGGTGACCGGACACCGACCATGGCCGGCCGCCTAGCCTCCCTCGAACGACGCCGCCGTTGCCTGCCACAGGCGAGGCCTGGCCAACCTTCGCT